TGATGATGATGATGATGATGATGGTGAACGGGTCAATTTTCCACAATCACGTGCTGGAAACTGGGTTCAGATCTCTGTACACACAGGCTAAGCGTTTTAACGTACACTGGCTGCTATAGAGTGCGAGTCTCTTGAATGAACTTGAAATTTAAGGAATAATTCATTTTTGAACAGTGTTTTAGCGTATTTCCAGCCACAAGTTTTTCGTGTCTTTTCCATTTGTCAACACGAAGTCATGAAACTACAGAGAATCTTAAACAACGAAATGCCAAACACACAACATGAACTGTCACCTGAACGAACGCTTGCGCCCTAGCGGAATGTTTGAGGAGTAGAGGAATACTTGAATCAGTGTCTGGCACGTACAACTAAGGAGAGGGCTAGGAGGATGCAGCCCCTTTTGAAATTTAGAAAAAAAACAACTGATGACTGTTGTGAAATCAGTTCATGTTTGTCATTAGACAATTGCATTTGTTAAGCTAACTAATTAAATGTTTACATTTTACAAATACTGTAAATAAATAAAATTGAGAACTTAAGGTCTTCCACATTTCGATACAGTGAGTGGAACTTTCGAACTCCGATTTCGCGAAAAGTTATGTAAGGCCTATGCCAGTTTTGTCTGGCAGGTTCTTGAAGGGAATACTAGCTACCAGCGGAGTCCTGGCCTGATACGAAGCAGAAATGCTGTTCCGAGGAAAGATTCTTATAATGCCTACGAAAATTAAGAGATAATTCTAAATTCTAAAATCTATTTAATATGACATGTATTTTGGTTGCCGAATCCTAATTATTTCTGATCATGTTCAAATCTTACAATATTTATTGAATTAAATAAGTACGGTGCAAAAATTAATTAATGATAAGAACAAAATTCAATAGGTATATTCAAGATAAGGAAAAAGTATTTTTTAATATTATTTGACAATTTCGCCTTAATTCATGTGTGATAATCGACAAACAAAATCAAAACAAAATATTTCCTTGCAAACAATTTCTTTTATGAATTGGATCAGTATCTTCTTTTCCAATCATTTCGCAATTTTTTGCTTCAGAGAACGCAGAATTTTTTAGATATTATTTTAGGAGTTTAATTTAATTTTGACATGATTTTTCTGCCATTAACAGTGATAAAATAAAGAACGAAATAATAGGGTTCGGAATTTATAGATAATATAAAAATAATTATATTATTTATTTCTCGCCGTGAATTTTTTACGATTTGCTGTTTATTTGTCTAAGTCCGCGTAGAATGAATAGAAATGTTGTTCATTACATTAAAAAACCTTTATTAAAATAAAAAGTGTATTGTTACAAGAAAATTATCCATTGATAAAAAAAACTTGCAATGTATTTTTCAACAGTTTTCTTGAAGACTTTTGTCCAACCATTGGCGTCTGTTTTTCTATGAAGTACCATCTGCGGGCGAATCTGTTACGGTATTCCTCCCACACACTTATTTTTCTTCTTTCTTCCCTGCTGTTATCTCTTCTTAGCCCTTCTCTTTCCCATCTTCTACTTTATCAAATTTATGCAATTCCTCTTCTTTATACCTATAATGTTCACTTTCAAGGAAAGAAAGAAAGAATCGTCCAAATCACTAACAATTTCCCTTATCAACTGACTAACTGTATCATCGAAAATAGAATCCTTGGCAAACACACAAGACAGTCGAGTGGTGGCAAGTTCAGACATCTTCGATGTAGCAAGCAAAGTTCTATAACTCTGACTGTTGTGGGGTCCACGAGACTGATTTCAAACGCCTCTCTCAAGCAAATAGTCGCAATTGGATACGCCATGCTTAGCGTGAGTGTTGTTTATAAAGAGATAAGATACTATAAATAAAATCTTCCTGCAACGCATCAGAAGAGAGGATCGTAAGTTTATTTTCCTTTCTTCCTTCTCAGACCGTACGTTCATTAATTAAGGGTTAAGTTAGTGAGAAATAGAAGTAATGACTCCTATTTCTTTTTTGTACAAAATTAGTTTAGTGAAAAATTTGAATTTGGCACTATTCCTCAAATCATCTTCTACAATCCACGGCAGTAGTATCTTTCTGCGACAACATGTGGCAACAGAGCAGACGTTTGCAAAATGATTGAATTCTTCAATGCAGAAGGTAAAAATGCCCATTTGCTTTCACGAAAGAGTGAAAATGTGTTCGGTGCTGCCGCAACAGTGGACGTCTGCACTGTTAGACGACGACGACGACGACGACGAAGTTCAAGGGTAAAAGCCATTGGCTGTCGAAAGGCGAAGCGGCAGATTGGTCACTCCACCCAACATTCAGCAAGTCGATGACATCATTCGTGGTGATCACAGGGTGACTACAGATTACGTCAGGGAGATAATGCGACACAATTCATCTGTCACATTTCACCTTCCGCATTCAAGAACTCAATCACACAACCCTCTCAACCCGGCCGGATTTTCAAACGACTGCCGTGCTGCCACATGTTGACACGCAAAGTTACTACTGGCTTACTAGGTTTGAGGAATAGTGCTAATTTCAAATTTTTCACTTGACTCATTTTAAGTAGTCAAAAGTAGGAGATTACTTCCTGACTAACCCTCGTAATACTTCTGTAGAGGCAAATTGACGCTTCGCCGTGAATTTCCCAGCAGACGATGAGGATCCGGCTTTTGGCCTCCACGATGAACATAAATCAACCTTAAGTCTGAAATTATGCGTTGCATACGTATTTTGAGAATTTATTATCCTCCTATACGCATTCCTTTGTTCATTCGCGTTTTTCACCCCTCTCTCTCGCTGTTTCGTGAGTGGGTTTATTTGAAGATTCCGATTGGGAATAGGTCTGAAAATTCTTCTCTACTCAACCTTCTTTCAGGCAATCCGTCCCGACGGAATTGCACGCCATGGCGAGCGCTACTGATTGTCAGCCTCTGAAGCAGTTTTTTTGCTTCGTCTCGCATGCGAGTTGTTTTTTGATAAAAAGATCAAGCGAATGGTTAAATGGGACATATGTGGTAGGCGATGCGTAATGGACAGTGATTCAAAAAGCTGTACGTGTTAAACTGGGAGGGTTATGTGATAAAAAAATAACCGATTGGAATTGATGTCACTGCAGCATCTCTGACCGGGACGTTCTCTGATGTAACTGCAGTGCTTCTGACCTGGAGGTCCTAGGATTTGAGTCCAGGCAGTGGCAGGATGTTCGACACAAGCCTGTCAGCTAGGTCGAGTTCTGTCGCTGTCTGGAGGAGAATTCTAGCAGCCGAATGCTCTGATCGGTGGTTTTCCTTGGTTTCTCCGATCAACACCAGACGAATGTCGGAGCAGTACCCCAACAAACGGGCCAAAGACCGCGCGCGATCTTTTCTTCTTCTTCCTTGTTCTGTGCTCACCCCCCTCTCTCTCTCTCTCTCTCTCTCTCACACACACACACACACACACACGCGCGCGCGCACGCACGCACGCACACACACACACGCACACACACACACGCACACATAAACACACACACACACACACATAAACACACACAGAACTACACCACACTTCTCGGGAGGCCAGCTGGGCGCGTAGAGCTTGTTTTGACTGGGGTAGTGCCTTGCTGGTGGGAGACACGTGGCTGGGGAAAATCCCCGCCAGCTGACATAGGTCCGCGCTGGATTTCACCAGCCATCGAGGTACGATCTTTTGCCCCTACCGCGAAAAACACGCACCACACTAAATGATCTTAGCAGTTGACGCTCTCGGAATCACCATCAATCGTCCATAGGACGTGCTGCATTCGCGCATTTCCAAGTCGACGGCAAG